CATGCTTTTCTTCTGTTCCTTCTGTCTCTGTCTTGAAGGTTCTCTCCTTTCCCTGCCCACATTAGGCAGCCCCCTGCCTCCACCACCCCCACCCCCGTGTGTGTGTGTGTGTGTGTGTGTGTGTGTGTGTGTGTGTGTGTGTGTGTGTGTGTATTAAAAGCTTTTAAAACCCAGGGTTTGGCATGGTCTCCAGGCGACTTCTGGTCTCAAATTGTCCATCCATGATTTAGAAGCCCCACAGAACTCCTGCCATCCCCAAGTCTTTGTTAGACAGCCAAAACCCTCCGGGCAGCTTCCCCAGATGTCGGCACCTTGGCAACGCCCTGGTTTGAACATGACTTTAATAGCAACTAATTCCCTCTGTGGTGGCACCCCCGCAGATGGCTCATCATGTCACAGGCAAGTTTCAACAGTCATGGAACCAGATGGGCATATTTTCCCAAACAATAGCATTGTGGTGGCAAACAGCTAAGGCACGTCAGGGGCACAGCGGTGAGGCAGGTAGCAAATGTGAGGTGGGATGAATTATCTACTTTCTGCGGTGATTACTTATTTAATCTTTAATTGCTTCTGAAGGGAGGGGTGTCCTTTGCAACCGTGGGTGTATTTTTAGTTTATTCATGATATCCAAGAAGGAATTGTATTCGGGGGCGGGGGTGGGGGGCTGGCTATGGCTGCCGGAAGAAGAGACTAGCAGGGAGATCATGCCAGTTCCAAGTCAGTTGGAAGGTCTGGACACTCAGGGCAGCTGATGCTTTTCTGTTTCAGATGTGCTAGCTAGCACCCATCCTGTCCACTCCCTGTCACCCTCTGCTCCCATGGACACCCTGGTACACACTGACTCAGGACTCAGTTCTCTAATGAAGGTGGAGGATGGGAGGGTACCGAGGACAGTGTGCCTGAGGCTGAGATGTTTAGTCTCTATGATGTCAACCTTTAAAAAACTCATGGCATTACTCCAACCTATGTCATTTACCTTGTAGCTGCCTATAAACTAACTTGCCAGTGTGTCCAGGTTCATATTAACTCTAGTTTGGGGTTCAGTTTGGGTTATTGCTAAGAATGTAACAGTACAGATGATATGTAGAAAATGAACTCACAAAAGACTCATTTGACTCACACTCATTTCTTGTGATATTAGCAGCCCCTAAACACCCACAGCACAGCAGACTCTTAAGCCAAACTTACGTGAATTCTGATCTTAAGGCTACTGAGGAAAAAAGGACATCCCTCATGTCTCTGAGAGTAGGATTCACAGTGTAAATGCTATGTATGTGGATGTTTCCCTGTTCAGTACACATGCAATGTTTTTCTAAGAAAGTTTTTTCAGTTCTTGGTTGGATACACGTGTAGGTGTGGAACCTGCAGCCACAGAGGGCCACAGAGGGCCAACCACATTTTAAAAATAAAGTAAAATTGGGGCTAGAGAGCTGGCTGAATAGTTAAAAGCACTTACTGCTTTTTCAGAGGACCTGAGTTTGGTTCCCAACACCATATCCAGCAGCTTGGAAAAACCTTTAACTCTAGTTTTAGAGAATCCAACACCTTTTTCTGGCCTCCATAGGAACTGTACTCACATACTCATACACATAAAAGTTAATTTTAAAAAAAATTCAGAGATTTCATTGAGTATCTGCATTATACATGGTATGTTGTTATAGAAATATATAATGTATATTGAACACATCTTACATACTCATCCCATCCCATCAGTCCACTTTGTCCCCATAGACAGTTCATGTCTACTTTCAACGTCATACACACATACATGATTTTATGTATCTCCACAAAATCTAAGAATCACACATTGTAGAAAACACACGGTATTTGTCTGAGATTGACTTTATGTGTTTAATACGATGCTCTCTACTATATGCATTTCCTGTAAACAACATAACTTCATTCTTCTTTATGGATGATAAAACAATCCATTGTGTTTATAGCAATACCACATTTTCCTATCCATTTCTCTGTTGGTGAGCACCTGGTTTGGTTGCATAACTTAGCCACTGTGAATAGTGCCACAGTAAACATGAATGTGCAGATATGTCTGTGATATATTGATTTAGAACCTTCAGGTAGATACCTAAGACTTGGTATGGATGAATCATATAGTAGATCTAATTTTAGTTGTGAGAAACGCCTATACTGATGCTCATAGAGGCTGGACTACATAAAGGGTCCTTTTTGTCTACCTCCTCACAAGGCTTGTTATTTATTTTTATAACGTCTCGAAGGACTAGTGAGATTGAACATTCTTTACTATGTACTGGTCATTTTGTTCTTAATATTTTGAGAACTGTCTTTTAATTTCATTAGCCCCATTATTGACTGAGCTGTGAGATTTTCTGCTTAGTTTTTGTTGTTGTTATTGTTCCTTGTTTACTCTGGAGAGTAATCTTCTGTTAGATGTGCAGTGTCTGAGTTACTTTCTGTTGCTGTGGTAAAATGCCCTGACAATAAGCAACTTAAGGGAGAAAGGGTTTCTTTTGGCTTACAGTTCAAAAAGGATGTAGTCCATCATGGCAGCCGGCAAGGAGGCCTAGTGGTAGGGGCAGGAGGCTGGCTGATCACACTGCAGCCACACTCGGCAAGAAGAGAAAGATGCACAGGAAGTGGGACTGGGCTATAAAACCCACCCCCAGTGACTTATTTCCTCCAGCAAGGCTCCCCCTCCTATAACCTTCCCGAACAGGACCAGAATCTGGGGACCAAGTGTTCACACACATGAACCCTTGGGGAGCATTTCATATTCAGATCAAAACATGGCTAAAAAATGCTTTCTTCCATTCTTGAAGCTGTCTCTTCACTCAGTTAGCTGTTTCCTCTCCTGTTTGCAGCTTTTTAATCTAAGCTTTCCAGATGCATCCCTGAGGTGCTTTTATAGTTCATCCTAATCCGGAAATATTTACCTACACCTCTATCCTCAAGTGTTTCCACTACTTTTTCCTCCAACAGTCTCAGAGTTTCAGGTCTTGTGTTGAGGTATTTGATCCAAATGAAGGTGATTTGGGGGGAGGGGTGCAGGGTGATAGATACGGATTTATTTTCACTCTTATATGTAGATACCCCTTCCCCCAGCACCACTGGCTGAACAGAGGGTCTTTTATCCACTGTATGTTTTTGGCATCATTGTTTAAAAAAAATGGTGGTTACAGTCCTGTGGGTTTATATCTGGTTCCTCTGTTCTGTTTCACTGATCTATGATCTATTTTTGTTATGATGGCTCTGCAGTGTATTTTGACATCAGGTATGATAATAACTCCAGGAGCAATCTTTTTGCCCAGGATTGCTTTGGCTATTCAGGATCTTTTGTACTTCCATATGGATTTTGAGATAGTTATTTTCTATTTATGCGAAGAATGACATTGGAATTTTGATGGAAATTGCATTGGCTCTATGTGTATGATGTTTTTGATACTATATCAATTTTAACAATATTAATTCTTCCAATCTATGAGCGTGGGAAGTCTTTCCATTGTCTATTATCTTCTTTAATTTCTTTTTCCAATGTTCTAAAATTTTCATTCCAGATGCCTTCATTACTTTGGTTACATATGTTCCAAGACAGTTTTCTTGTTTGATTTTTATTTTTGTTTAGGCAATTGTGAATGAGATGTTTCCCCCAATTTTTCTTTTAATATGCTTGTCATTGCCAGATGGGAAAGACACTGATTATTTTAAATGACATTTTGAAATAGAGTCCCATGTAGCCCAGACTGGATGCAAATTTACCATATAGTTGAGAGTGACCATTAACTTCTGATTTTCCTGAGATCCTTTACCTCCTGGGAGCCAAGACACAGGCCTGTGCTACTGTATCTGCTTTACTTAATGCTGGAAATTGAACCCAGGCTTCTTGTGTATGAGGCAGCATTCAATCACCCAAGCCTAAGACTGCTATTTTTGTATATAAGTTTTATGTTGTGCCCTTTGCTGCAAGGATTTACCAGAGCTAGGGACCTCCTCCTCCTCTTCCCTCCTCTTCCTCTCCTCTCCTCTTCCTCTTCCCCTTCCCCTTCCCCTTTTCCCCTTCCCCTTCTTC